CTGGCATGTGGTGCTGGGGGATTGAACCGCGGTCCCTGATGCTTTTGCTAAGCTTGTTCTAAGTAGGTGCTTTAGACCACTGAGCCATCTCTCCAGCCCATTAAGGCATTATTAATGAAAGAATGCCCTTGGCCTCTAAGAGGCATGGTCTGGCCAAATGCCAACTAAGTATACTATGTTAGGGAACTGACCTATGCTAAACTTTCCCGGTGGTATATGTATAACAAAGGCAACCTCCTTATGTACTTTACAGAGTAAGGGCGAGGGGAAACATACTTTCTACTTGGTCTTTTCTGATGGGTTTCAAATGTTGAACAAGGAAGAAGATGCTAGCTCTGCTTTCAAATAACGGTGGTTGAATGACTTTTTAGGGGCCAGGGAGATGGCTCAGTAGAATAAGCGCTCCCCTCGCAAGCGTAAGGGCCCGAGTTTAATCCCTGGTTATGCCAAAAAATCTCGTATGCAAAAAAAAAAAAAAAAAAAAAAGAATGACTTTTTAAATGAGGCAGCAGATGTGTATCATTAAAGCAAGCTGGGACATTGCCATGTCACATGTCCCTGCTGATTATAACATAGTTAAACTCTATTTTGAAGAATAAACTATGAAAAGGACCAGATCTTCAAAATTTTCTTTGTAGAATAGTGCCTAGCACAAGGTAGGCCCTTAATTAATGGGTATGGGGGACTTACGTTTAAAAATGATGGGTCCTTGAGGAAAGATTTCAGAGGCACTGGATATTTACCAAGAATGTCCATTCCCCAGGCAAGTTGAACAAGGAAGACACTAAGTTCCACACTTGGGAGTTAAAAGCAGGACATGGTCAAGGGCACGAAGTAGCAGTCTGTAGACAGCTTTTCTCCAGTGTTTTATTGGCTGAGACGGTGTTACAAGTATGATCTGACATTCAAACACTGAGTTACACAGCATCTCTTTGGAAAGCTGGAGGTTCTGGAAACACTGGGCAGCAAACAGGACAGACTGGGAGGGGTTCAGAATCTGGCTCTTCTTCACTCAGGGACTGCAGCAGGCGGGGACTGCAGCAGGCGGGGCCTGCTTTGCTTGCTTTATCCACCTGGCCCCACAGGCACAAACGGGTTTGAGATCCCTGGATGATGTTATGAGGGTCACAGGTCAGGGATCTCCAGAGAACAAATGCTGTGTGTTCAGAGTGTTTCTACAGACATAAGGATGGAGTAATTCATTCTTAAGTTGTTGAGGAAATAGTCATTGCATTCACATTTCTTTTGATCTCATATTTAGACTGGTTATTCTATTAGTCTTTTAAATTTAGCTTGACTTGTCTTTTGGGAAGAAGAAAGAACTGTTCTCTAACTATAGTCTCTTCCCGGATGGGATGAGAGGACACACAATGCTGCTTGTAAATGTCCCTCTTTTATATTACTTTATCCAAAAACCTTAGTAAACAAATTTTAAAGTTCAAAAAATTAAGCAATGGGAATAATCTCACAGCGACAACATGTCATGTAAGTGTGGACAGTGAAAAGGACTCAAGTATGTTATGTGCATACACGCATCCACCAAGATCAAACCCATCAATCTGTTTAAGCAATGTGAAAAAAGTGCAGACAGGCCAAGAAAATATCTTTTCCTACCCCATGTGGTACAGCACCTTCCGGCCCACATTTGCTGTGGGCCACTGATCGATCTTTCTTCACAACGACACAGCAGGGCAGCAGAGATGCAAAGCAGTGTAGCTCTTCTCCCTAACGCGTATGACTCTGTGAGGTTTAACGATCAGTATGTTCACTTTCAAAGTTAATTATTCAAGCAGTAAGTGACTTCTGGCTTCGCAGCAGGCACAACCATGTTTTACAGCACTGTGTATGACCTGCTCTGTCCTGATACGCTCATGACTAATGCTTTCTGGACGCCTCAGGGAGCTAATTTGAACAACTGTGTAAAATACATCCATACCTCTAAACTGTTCTATAATCAGTGTTTCTGAATAATGACAAACCAAATGAAATTTGAGTTTTAGCCTGTTTCACTTTAAGCTTTAGCAAGTTGCTTGGCCAAGAGAAGCTGGAACTTGGCTGTGCTGTGCTCAGTGTCTGAGGGAAGCTTCATGAACATACTGGTGCAACTGTCTGGAAAGGTCCCTGTTGGGACGAAGGAGCTAAATGCAAGCGGGGACCCTATTTTTATTATGTATCTCTATTTTTTACCACTGTCAGGAGTTTTTTTTTGTTTTGTTTATTTTATTTTTTTAAATTTTTTATTTTTTTATGTGTGTGTGTGTGTGTGTGTGTGCGCGCGCGCGCGGCCAGCTCAGCCCACCAGGGGGTGGGGCTGGCTGGCATGTGGTGCTGGGGGATGGAACCGCGGTCCCTGTGCTTTGCTAAGCTTGTTCTAAGTAGGTGCTTTAGACCACTGAGCCATCTCACCAGCCCCGTTTTTTTTTTTAAAAATTAGATTCTGTCTTTGAATGGGAGCAGGCACGCAGTTCAAACAGCAACTCTCACAAGCCAGCAGCAGGGAAATCTCTGGCAGGAGACATCTTCTAGGTGACCTATCCAGGCTTTGGGGCTGCTCAGGGGTAGCCCCAGATCCCGTCATGGCTACCACCGATCTGAAGTCTGCAATGGGCCTGACAGCACCAGACCAGCCTTCCTGTTGGGATGTGGAAGGAGGTCTGCGGCCTACGTCAGGGATGGGCAGGCCAGTATGGAGCCATGGCAGGGAGCCTACTATTAACGGGCCATTTTTCCCCCTCACTCTGCACTTTTAGTACTATCTTATAGGAAAAAAAAAAAAAAAAGATATTTTATTATTATTTTTTAAAGGGCCAGCCAAATAACTCAGCAGATTAAAGCACCTGCAAGCAGGCACAGGGGCCAGGGTTTGATCCCCGGGGCCTGCCGTGCCAGCTCTGCCCCCAGGGTGTGTTGAGATAGCAACTGAGACTTGGCCTGGTGGCACACGCCTGTAATCCCAGCCCTGTGAGGCTGTAAACAGGTGGATCACTACGAGTCCGATCTAGTAGTGAAACCCTGAATACCCTGTAGGCCCTTTCCTTAAAAAAAAAAAAAAGAAAAGAAAAGAAAAGAAAAGATATAGCAGCAGAAATGATTTTGGCAGGAAGAATATGAGAGAAGCGAGATTATTTCTTTGTGATGTTTCTTGCCCTGTGTCTGTTACAACAACATTATCTTATATAAAGACTTACGGAATCAAAGATTCATGAGGGCCTAGAACACGGCTACTGTATGTCCAGTGACAGATTGAAGTGAGGTTTCTTGCTAAGGCACAGCACTATTTGAAAGTTTAAATGTTTATTTAAGACAGACGTGCCACACCATTCACCACAGCCTTCCGGCATCATGGAGAAGCTCCTTCTTCAGCAACAGTGTCAGCACTAGGAGTAACCCAGGTGGTACGTAACTCAAAAGCAAAACACCAGGGGTTCAATCCTGGGCACCATCCGCTGCGCCAGCCCTGCCACTGGGTGCGCTGAGCTGGCCAGAGACAGGACAGGCGTGGTGGAGCACACCCGTAGTCCCAGCACTGGGGAGGCTGAAGACAGGAGGATCACTAGGAGTCCGAGCTGCATAGTAAGACCCTGTACAAAATACATTAAAAAACACCAGAAAACCAAAAGCATCTACCACTGCATAGAGGAGAACAGTAGGCCAAGCTGGGGAGAACTAGCTACAGGAAACCACTCAAAGGCATTTCTCTGCTCTGCCCTTCATCCAGCGCACGCTGCCACCTCTGAACTGGTTTCTGCTTGCATAGCTGTTTGGTGGGAAAAATCATATGGCCATCCCAGGCACCACTCGGGGAAGTGCAAGTTGTCTCTAAGGCACAGAACTTAAAAGATTCTCAGGCAGATTAACGGTAAACCTCAAGTTCCCAAAGAACATGCTAGACCACTGAGTTGTACTGCTAGGGAATGACTCCCCTCTGGAACTAAAGCAGGGCTCTTAGCCCACTTTCACACTCAATGTCCCTCACAGTCTCAGCAGGGCATGTGCCCATATCCCTCAGCTCCAGAGCAGCAGTGATCCTCATGACAAAAACTCAAAATAACCCTCCTGCTCAGGCGTGCCAGGTGGTGAGCATGAGGGCACAGACGCGAAGGTCGGGCAGCTGCCCGGCGTGATGGACCAAACCACACTCGGGTTGACGGCAAAAGCCCAGACCTTGTGACTGAGTTCAGCCTTGGCCCTTCCCTCATTTTAGGAATGAGCACTACTGTACGGTGCTTCTCAGAACTGAGACACAACAGCACATCAAAGCAAAGCCCCACAGGACAGCTGCCCTTTCCCAGGGACGTCTGTTTACCGGCACCAGCCTTCACACCAGCAGCTCAAGGGAGAAGGGGACATTTCCCTTGCGCAGGGCCTCCTGCAAGATTCAACAGATTGGTTTGGGGAAAGTAAGACAAAATTAATGTAGCTCCTTAGAGAGGATGGACACGAAACTTACCTAAACAGATTCTGTGACCCAAATATAGGAACGTTTTGTAAGGCTTTATGGAAACACAAAACTCACATCCTTAAGGGAAATCATCACAATAGATCAGCGATCTAAAGTGCCGCTTAGGCAATCTCAGGCACGTGTAGGGGACCTTGGTTTGATCCCGGGCACAACATGCAGCGCCAGCCCCACCCTGAGGTGGGGTGAGCCTGCCAAAAAAAAGTTTGCTGGGCCAGGTGTCATGGTGTACACCTATAATTGCAGTACTAGGTAGGCTGAAGCAGGAGAGGACTGCCTCTTAGTTCAAGGCCAGCCTGGCCTACATATGAACTCAAAGCCACCCTGAACTGCACAGTGAAACCCTTTTCCAAAAGATGGGGACAGCGGGGAGGGAAGTGGGTCTGCAGGCAAATTCCTTTCACTTGGCAGGACCTACCTGTTCTGTTAGGGTTCCAGGACCCCCAGGGTTCAATGCTGGCTTTGGGACACTCGAGTAGGAAAGCTCAGATAGATTCACTCATTATAACATGGCTTCAAAAAAACACCAGGAGAGAAATAAGGAGGGGCTGGGGCTGCTGATGTCAAGATTCAACTCCTAAGAGCCACGAAGACGGAGGCACAAGAAGCCCTCTTAGGGCAGGAAACACACGGTACCCAGCCAGGAAGAAGCAATGAAAGAGGCACACCTCTCCTTCTCGATGTTTCCTAAGACCCTGCCTAAGGTGCCTGACTCAATCCTCTGAGACACGCCTTCTTTCTTCAGAGGCGCTTTTCAGAGCTGTGAACTCCCATCCTGCACTGGCCACTGTGCTGAGGATGAAACTGTTCTTCCTCCACTTTTCATTAAAGACATATCATCAGCCTTCAGAGGAAAAGCAATTTAAACTGGCTTTTTCCCCTAAAGCATTTTGCTGCATGAAGTAACTGAACTCTCTGAAAACACACCCTAGATTGATTCTACCAGACAGATTTTCCTGAACTCGGGGTCCTGAGAAGGCTCAGAATACTTTGCCACTCTCCAGAGGGTCTTGGGCAGGCCGTGCCCGATCTCAGCCCCTCGTTCTACACGTTCCCTCCTCACCTCGAGCTATGATGCCTGGTGGTGACTCTCCAAGGCAGCTTAAGATCAATGGTGGGACTGATAAATGGGATTATGAGTTGCTACCAGCGCAGTTAAAGTGAGCACTGTCTCTTCCTCAAAGGTGAGACCAACAGATGAGGAACAGAGCTGCTGCTGTATGGCCGTCGCTGATGACCAAGCCAGGGCTACAGGCACTTCCATTCTCCAAAACAAGAAAAATTTCTCTAGATCCTATCTAAAAGGCAAAGCCACTCTCCAAACGTACAAGGAAAGTGCTTCAGCGCCTCTGCTGTACGCTCCTCGTCTGCAAGTGAACAAAGCCAGGAAAGCTGCGCTCTGCATTCTTAAGTGTGCTGTGAAGTTCGATGGCTCCCAGCTTCCTAGGGGCTCTGCAGGCTCAGAAGACTAGAGGCTGGGTCGACAAGACTCTGTTCCCAGGAGGCACCAGGAGGAATCTGCATCTAAGTCAGGTTTAGGATCCTCTTCCATCTCTTCCTTAGCTGTCTGAGTTCCTCTGGAATGCACCCCCACCTGTCCAGATTGAACACAGGTCCGCGTAAGCAGTAGTGCCGCCTGGTCACAGCGGTTCAGGATGAGATTTCCAAAGCCAGCCTAAGAATGCATGGCTATAGCTTCCTGGGGGAAACTCACAGCACTCCCCAGGGTCACACTTGGAGTCTCATACTCCAGGAAGCTTAGGCAGGAAGATCACAAGTTTAAGTGCAGCAGGGGCAACTAAGTGACTTAGCAAGACTGTCTCAACATAGGTAAGAAAAGGGCTGAGGACATGGCTCAGAGCACAGGCCTGGCTCTCAGACCTTGGCGCTCCTCTTCACACCTAGCTCGCGCCCGTACATCTGTTACAGGCAGGGTGCGCAACAGGGATGTTTGCTTCACCTGGGACTGCAGGGTGTTCTGAGCCGCAGAATTCTCAATTTTAAAACTGAAACAGTTCTGGGCAAGATAATCTTGTCTATTATAGCTGCCAATCTTATTCTGAGTGTGTCTATTGCTTTTTAAAGTATTTTCATATGCGGGCTGGAGAGATGGCTCGGTGGTCTAAAGCACCTACTTAGAACAAGCTTAGCAAAAGCATCAGGGACCGCGGTTCAATCCCCCAGCGCCACATGCCAGCCAGCCCGCC